GGCAAGGAGAGCGTTGATGAGAATCGGGGAGCAGTATCTCTGGCGTCCATCCTGAAAGTCTTGTAGAAAGTGTTCTTTGCTTAGTGAGGCGAACGTGGGATATTCCCAGCAAAAGTACAAGGCAAGGAGGTGTTGGACTAGATTTATGTCGCCAGTGATGCTTGTCCAAGATTGAGGAGGTGTTTTGACTTCCGACTCATCCATGAATGACAGAATTTGTTCAAGGCCCCTGTATCTAGGCATAGTCGAGTCGGACATATGGTCCGGCGGCATCGGCTCCGCCCATGAGCCTACTCTCGTCTGCGGGGGCCCGGGCGCATTGTCTGAGGTCCAATTCATCGCATCAGTGTATGAGTTGCTTCTCGTCGAGCCTGCTTGGCTTATTGTCCACGGACTGTTCTGCTGCACGTCGCCTCGTATACCCGGTTGCTGAGTTGCCCCGGTATCGACTCCCAGAGACAGCTGGCCTATGCCGCGGGAAGGGCCGGCCCCAAACCCGGAGCCTGAAGCTGGGCCCATGACATGATCACCACTTATATCGGAAGACAATGCAGTGCCTAGCCAGTCGGATATATTTTCTACGGACTGGCCCCCGCGGAGCCGCCGCAGTACTTCCTCCCATAGGTCTGGTCGGACCAGAGCGGCAAACACTTGATCGCTGGACCGCTGGCGAACGCGGAGGCTCTCAATCTCCGTTCGAAGATTTTCTTTGGATTGGCGAACAGGAATTTCGTATACACAGTCGACATCCTTCTGAGCCTTGCAGCGCCCACAGGGCCTCTGGCCGTCGCACTGTAAGGCGAGAACAGAAATGTCAGCACAGCATACGAAGCAATTTGCACAAATAAAAAGGCGGAAGCTTGAACGCGAGAGGCGCACGAAATACACACACCTTTGCTCTCTTTTTTCGACATTCTGTACAGGCATTGGGAGTGACCACGCCAAGGCCTCTCCTCCGTTTCGAATTCTGCGCGTTGCCAGATTGTGGCTTTGCGGAAGATGAGGACGACGCAACGGGCGTAGGGTGGTTCTGTGAATGGGAAGACTGTGTACCGGTGGTTCCCTGAGGCGTGCTTCCAGAACTGGGTTGGCTCGGAACCGATGGGGTATGGCTGCTGCTGTCTCTATCCATATTTTGACCGAGAATATAAACGTAGGAGGTCGACTGTCAGATGCTATGTCCCTGTGTTCAGCACGGAGCAAGGTCTGAGCCGAGCAGCGATGCCGGGCTGGATGCAAGCTCGCTGGTTTGCAAAGCTGCGAGAAACCCACGATGTCGCCGGGTGACAGATACAGGGCAATAAACAGTTTTTAGCAGGGAGAAAAATAGTAGATAAAGCCGTCCTGGGGTCAACCGCACAGCACAGCTTTATCCCCTGTAAACCACCTCAAAGAACCGGATATGAAGTTTGGTGTTGAAGCGCCTCGAACATAAGATTCATACAAGGACATGGTGCGGGGGAAGAAGGACGTTGACCGGCCGTGAATGAAGACAATGGTCAGCGACTCGGCTTGAGAGACGGTATGGGATTCGAATTCATATGTTCCAAGGGTGTGGCTATTTGGATTGGAAACCAGCCGACGGCAGTAGCGAGTTGAGCGGCGATTTGAGCGAGCATGCAGCGTCGCGTTTTCAATGTCAATTGCTGCCGAGTGGTCTGGGCGCGTGACGTGGGTGGGTTACGATGCGGGCGTCCTGCAACCAAGAGTGTCGACGTGGGACCGGCTCAACGGGAATGGGCATGCAATGCTGTGGCAACGAGTGGCTATTAACGCAACGGTGCGCTCGATGGGAATGATGGGGAATCGAAGCTTGTCGACATTTCCGACAAGGTCTCCAAAATACTCGGTAGGGCCGACTAAAGAGGTAGTTGGTTATGGAGCAGGCCTGCTCCGGCCATTTATGAGACCCGACACCATCACCCTAGTCGACTTTGAAGCTCTTGGCTCCCGGCTCTCTGTGGCTTTGCCCCGTCGATTGACCCATCGGCCATCAACCATCAACCATCGACCGTGGACCGGGAGGCTTAGGCGTCTGGTTGAGGCTCGTGTACTCCGTACCAAGTACGGGAGTACTCCATCCCGTTACCCCGTAGGGCATGACAAAACAAGAAGAAGAAAATGATCAAGGAAAAGATAAGGAGTAAAAACTCGCAGCCTCGGATAAACACGACGTTGCAAGTCTGGACGATTGATTAGTTTTGCCGGCAAAAACGAGGACCAGTCTGGTATCATATGAAATGCCAAAAGCTCTGGTGTTGGCTGGTCTCCGCCCCGCAAACAAGTGCCCAGCCAGCGGTTTCGTCTTCCCTGGAGTCTGGACACAACCACTATCGGAAAGTGCGACCGTACTAGTAGTAGACGGCGCCCACAACCCGGCCAGTCACAAGTCACCAGTCCGCCAGTCCGCAAGATTACGGAGCAAGTGGATGTGGCTGACGGCCCACACATCTGTCCTGCCCGTTACGATATTTGAACTTTACCATCGAGCAAGCAATGGTCGGCGCCGCACACACGCAATGCCGTCAACCAACGACCTCCATGTGCCATTTATTACTAGCAGATTTTTAGATTGACGACATGTATCTCTCTTTCCTTATGGACCAAGGTTCATCCATCACTGCAGCTACTCACAAAGTAATGACCTCGCTTCGACGATTTTGCAGTTGGGCTACCTAGCATCATCTTTGCCAATATTAAAGTCTCTTCCTGGTTCTCGGCCAGCCGACGATGTTCCAGTCATATAACTAAGCTCAAAGAACCCAACCCTGTGTGAATACAATCATAATGAAACTGCGTTTCTTAGTGTCATGTGCGATTAGACCCTAATCCAATGCTATGCCCTGCCGTCTTTCCGTTTTCCTGCCCAGCGCAACCACCATCCGCTAAAAACCCAATACTGATGCCTAAATGTATTTTACAATCCTCAATGGGCTTCTATCACATCCTTCAACACAAGACTTTCCCGTCGCTAGTATCCCTTGGTTGGACTACGCCCGTACTTTATTGGACTTAATTGCCTATCTCCTTTGCTTGGGCTTCGTCGTCCTGACGGCGTGTAGTAAGGTTTCATGTTAATGGGGGAATTATCCGTATCTGTTCCCTCGTCCAACAATGCCTGTCGCTTCATCCTGGGGGTCTGTACCGGAACAAGCATGTAGCCGGGTGTGATGCCGGGAGACCTGACATGGTCCTGCACATCCCCTGCTGGTTGAGATGGTGTAGGAGGAATCTCTCTGTGACTGTGTGACCGGCTGAATGCACTCAAGTTGACCGTAGAACATATCACTATGATAGCCACAATGACGCCCTAATTTTCATCTGTTAGTTTTGATCCCCAACCACAGTCCAACTAGCACACATACCCATGCCTTTAGATGCATTGTTTCAGTAAACTCGTTAATAATCTCCGCCACTTGCTTTGCGGTAACCTTGACTCTCATAATGGCGTCTGGATCTTGCATCATGCATTCATACCACTCGCTGCATGGTTTGTTCAATGCTGGTTTATTGTTGTTGGCACAGTCGTTGATTGTGTAGTCGTGGCGACAAGCGTCCATGGTGCTGACTATCTTTTGGTGTGCGGCCATGTTGGCGTTGGAAATATCCGTGCGAATGGTGCTTACAACTGACCAGCTCACGTACGTCAACACGGAAACCAGAAACACGTTGGCACCAAGCTGCATCCATCGTTGCATGTGATCTGGAGTATTGGGATACTTGTTGAGCGCATAGAAAAGTGACTCGAAGTATCCCTTTTCTTTCCCCTGATTTCCTTTGCCCTTTGAGCGACTCCTAGCCCTCTGAGCAACGCCAATAGCGTCCGAATCCGAGTCCGAGCTCCAGGAGTCGCCTTCATATCCGCCGTGCCGAGAAATGCTGCCAACATCCTTGTCCAAATTATGCCGTTTTCGCTTCCGCATCGTCACGTTGAGGTCACGATGCGCCCGAATCTCTCCCTTGCCCGAAATGTGCTTCTTAGAACTCGATTTCCCATAACGGGAAGACTTGTCAATCTTGAGAGGCGTAATAGTTGCACCCATGGAGATGTCGGCTTTGCGGTCTACTTCTGGAGTGTCGTTTGGATAGTCTGAAACCTCTGCGCCGGCTGGGCTGTCCTCCGCACCAGATGCTTCAGAAAAGACAACCTCATCGACGGGTTTTCTAGGAGTCGTAAAGGCGGGATTTCGGAATGGCGGAGCGGTGTTTCTTGAGGATAGTTGGGGCGTAAATCGAGAAGTTTGAGGGGTGTTGGACTGAGATTTTGACGGCGACTGAAGATGCGCAAAGGGATTCGGGGGTCGGGCCGTTTTGAATGGTGATCCAACATCTGAGCCGCTGTGTTAGATATATAGCGTTGGTAATTGTGGCCATCACCAGGATATTGGTAAGCCAGGCAAACAGAGGAATGGAGGCACGAGGACTTACTATTCCGTTGTATATTTTTTGCAGCCTGTGCAAAAGGGCTAGTTGGGTCTAGAGGGCCCTTGTCCTGGTACTCCCAGTCCATAGGACCCTCATAGGATCTGGCTTCCATTTTTGCGGAATTGAAGCAAGCGGACGGGTTTGAGCTATCAGGGCGCGATCTTGGACCAACTTGCGAGCAATGGAGAAGCCGTGGATGTTGGCCTCTTTTTGAGATGTCAACGGCAACCATATTACAAGCCACTTGACGAAAGTAAACAATCAGGGTGGGTCTTGCTGTGGCGCGAGTGCTAAGAGTGGGTCTATTATTATGTCAGCAGACCGGGGCCTACTCTGAGCTGCAGGCTTCCTTCATTCAGAATATGTTGGGAGCCAAAAGGACTATCCGAGTTCTGCAACATCGACCACCCCTATTTTCTGTATCTATAAATCTAACACACTTGTGGGTAAATAGCTGGCAATACTCGCATCCCAACTCGGTGGTTTGATTCTGCTCGCCTGACGCACACTCTGTGCCTGCGCTTTTGATCTCGGCCTATTGCATTCTTCCTTTTTCGCACAATCTACACCTCAGCATGTCTGACCGTGAATCGCCCGCCGATTTGCCTGCAAACGATGCAGTTGATGATGGACAGGAGCAGGAGTTCCAGGACGAGGTTGCGGCCGCCGGTTCAGACAGAGACTCGGACGCCCTCTCAGAAATCGACGAAAACGAGTTTGAAGACTACGATCCAGAGACGGCCAACATCGAGGACCGGCCAGTAGACATCGATGAAGATATTGCACGTACGCTCAAGGCTACCAAAAGAAAGCGCGTTGCTGGAGATGCTCCCAAGAAGCCGCGAGAGGGCCGTCGCGAGAAGAAGAGACGAGATCGTGACGATGATGTTGCGATGGAAGATGGATCGGAGGTTGATGGAAAGGCACCACGACGAGCAAGACGAACCGGCGAAGGCGAGAGACGGCGGACAAAGCCCGATACTCCTCAGCCTGAAAACGAAGAAGAGCTGAGCCCGGAAGAGCGCAGGAAGAGAGCCATCGACCGAGCTTTGGATGCGGCTATCAAGAAGGGCGGAACAAGTAAAAGGCGGCGCAAGGATGAAATCGTGAGAGACAAGTATACATGGAAGCTGTGCGCGCGTTTAAGCTGACGAAGTACTATAGGACTTGGAAGATGAGATTGATGAGCAGCTTGCCGAGCTCAAGGTCAAGATGGAGAGAGCATGCCGGGCTGACAACGAGGCGCGGGAGTCTAATCAACCAGCCCTCCATAAGCTGAAACTTCTTCCTGAAGTCAACGCTATCCTGAACCGAAACAACGTGCAGCATGCGGTCCTGGACCCGGACACCAACTTTTTACAACATGTCAAGTTCTTTCTGGAGCCCTTGAATGATGGATCCTTGCCGGCATACAACATCCAACGGGACCTGTTCACTGCAATGACCAAACTCAATGTGGAAAAGGAAGCTCTTCTCAGCAGCGGAATCGGAAAGGTTGTACTGTTTTACACGCGCAGCAAGAAGCCGGAGCCAAGCATCAAGCGAATGGCCGAGAGGCTACTGGGAGAATGGAGCCGACCTATTCTGAAGCGAACTGATGATTACAAGAAGCGACAGATTGAGAGTCGCGATTACGATTACCAGTATGTGAAGGCTGTGGTTCCTTGCTTGCTCTGTTGTGGTTGGTGGACGGAAGGCGGACTGGCTGACATGATGATTCTAGGGCGGCTAAGCTGGCACAACGGCAAAAGATTGGGTCACAATTCAGTCTCACGCAACGGCCGGCCATGTCTGCGCGTGATGCCGAGCGCGAGCGTATTCTGGCACCGGTTGGCGCCAGCAACCGCGCACGCATGACAAGTCTTCCAGAGAGTTACACCATTGCGCCAAAGAGCACGTTTGATGGTGCTAGGGGATCAGAACACAGACCGCTTGGCGCGGGTGGCATGGAGGCGTTCCGAAAGATGACGCAAAAGACCAAGAAGAGGGGTTGAAGCAACTTGTAGCTGTAACAGTATGCTGGGAGGGAGAAGCTTGAGTGGAGAGGTTGTTCATTTCTGCCCCAGCCCCCCTCCCCTTTCTTTGATTTGCAGATTATTGGGGGTTGAAACTGGAATCATTAGGGCGTTTAGGTACCTGAATAAGGCAAGGAAATAGTCGATTGGAGAAGAAGTGCAAAGAGACTTCATCATGCCCTTTAGCCACCAAAGAAACATGTAGCCGGGGGATAAAAATGCCGATATATAATACCGTGAGGCTGGCACAGGTGGGGAGCATTGTATGGAGGGATTTTTTTTCTTCTCTTTATTAATGCGAGAGGAAGTGGCGGCATTTCGATATTGGCGGAGCAAAACAATGTGCATGCGGGAATATCCATTGTGTTGGGTTGACTGGCGGGTGACTGGCATTGTGGTGCGGTGCATGGGAGTGACGTCAAGCACATGGTCAAGTGTGGAGCCGCTGCTGGACAAACACTGGGAGTGCCGAAGTCATAAACTTGGCGAGCAGGTGGGACAAGCAAAGAACAAAGGGCTGCCATGATTTTCATGGCTTCTTCACGAGCATACTAGATATCTTGACCGACATGGATGGGAGAAGCGCCTGCACATGCGGGATGTGGACTGGCTATCTACGCCGATGCCGATGCCGATGCTGCTGCTGCTGCTGCTGCTGTACGATATCGGGTCCGGCTGCATCAGCACTTGAGCCAGCCAGAAACGAGTTGATGGGGTGCCGGTGATGGATGGGTCAATGTTGGACAGGTCAAACGTTGAAGGGATTCGCTAGAGAACGGCTACTTGCCGACTGGACAGCCAAGCTTGGACGTGAGTCTAAGCAGGGAGTTTAAGCAATGAGCTCGAGAGTGATGCAGGGCTTCCAATGTGGCCAGATTGATTGTTTTTGTGCTCCTTGCCTCAACTGCCTTGTGTCGTCGACATGGACGGTCAATGTCAAGAGTGCGCGGGTACGAATGTACATGCCAACAACGTCGTTGAGTTGACCAGACGTCAATGGGCACAACACAAGCACCACAAGCACAGACTTGATCGCGTCAAGTCAATACTTCCAAAGCCAACTTGACTTTTTTCTCCTCCACCATGGTTGTGCTGTGCTTGACCGTTTCTGCCACCTCTGGCGCGCTTCCGAGACACGAGCTGGCGACTTGAAACGGCCGACTCTTGCTGGACCGTGATTTCGTCACTTCCAGCCCAACAGGCTTTGATTAATCTACTTAGTACTTGACCGGACTTTTCTAGTTGCAGACCCCACCAGACCCCCCAGCCAGGGGGTCAGTTGAGTGCACCGAGTCCAGATTCCTGTTTTGGGCAGGCATTTTTTGGCGCAAAGCGAACCACAAGAAGCAGCAATACCGTCCGCTAATACCAGACCGACCGAGTTCTCGTGTGTGCTAAAGCGTCAAGGTCATTTCGAATCCGCTCTTGCCATCTTCAACACATCCCAGCCACCCGTCGTCGCCGTCGCCGTCGCCACGCACGCCGCAGAACATCGCCAGCTCACGATTGATTCCCATACGTGGTCGAAGCGCACCAGCGCACCGCATCGCAGCAACCCGAGACGACTTGCCACTTGAGACACGCACAGTTCGAGTCTGGTGGCAGCAGACACGCTCCTCCCGCCTGCACTGGCACGCGTACGCTCTCGCTCGCAGCCTTTGCGCCAGTCGCCCTGTGAGCAAATCCTGGCCGCCGAGCCGTCAGCTTTCCCGGCCCCGATCTGGCGACACATCATCCGACTGCGACGTAGCACCGACGACGACCTTCACAGCCGTGGCCAAGAGGCGACAAAGATGAACGGTCAGCCGGCCGACCCCGAGAAGCCTCCTCCTCCTGAGGCAGCCGCCAGCCCAGGATCCAACGGAGCCGACACATTGGCCAAGAAGCGCAAGAAGGAGAGTCTCAAGCCCATCATCACCACCACCGAGAGCAAACTGCCGCCGTCCAAGCAGAGCCAAGAACAACAACAACAACAACAAGACAGTAGTGGGTGCGTATTGATGCCATCGCCTTTTCTCCGTGTGCCTCTTGTTTTGTTTTTGAACCATTTGTGAGCCATTGCTACCAAAGCTATCTGGGCGCAAAATTTTTTGTTGTTCTTTCTCTTGGCGTTGCGTGGGTTACATTTTTGCTTGCACTGGAAACATGTTGTTGCACACGGCTATGCGCGATGGGCGTCATGCCCAATTGACGGCTCAAGTGAGGGCATGTACGGGCAACATGTTTTGTAATTTTGGAGAGTTCCAAAAAGTGGCATCGCGTCTAACCACGCAGAGCCCAGCGCTTTGCCGCGTCCCGCTTGACATGTCTCACGGGTTGTCCTTCCTTGCCCTCTGCTATCGGGGAACCCTGATGCTGGATGGTGGGCAAGCCTCGCCATGCCAGCGCAGACACCACCCGGGGGGAGCTCGTGGACAGCGAGTGGCTGCGTCTTGGCCTTGAAGCTGAGCATCTGACACTTGTCCGTGAGCATCTGGCCTTGGACAGACTCGGCAAGCGCCTGGGTTGAAGACAGCCAGCAGGCAGGCAGGCAGGCAGGCAGACCAGTGGACCTCGAGCGTGCAGAGAGGATTCAACCTTTGCACATGTGTCGATGCGTCCATGTCGGTTTGATTTGATGACATCTGGATGCCCCGGCCCGCCCCAGCCCCTTGGCCACGGTCCACTGGAAAGCCTGCCATGCCAGCATTCAATGTTCAACCAGACTGGACCCCCACGCCCCGGGCCACTCCAGCGCCAGGCTAGTTGCCAGCCGCTAGCCGCCCGTCGCCAGTCGCCGTCGCAGGCCGCGAGTCGACCGCAAGTCGCCTCAACCGTCAATCACGCATCACACATTGCACTTCACACACTCGCTTCCCTTCGGACGCGGACTGCATCGCCGTCTCGCATCCTCCCTCTCTTGCTCGACATCTCACATTGCTGCCTCGCCGAACACAGACCGCCCCTTGGGCCCTGCTGTGTAGCCGTTTCTGTCCTGCACCACGGCCTGCCTTCAAACTCTCCCCACCGCACCGTACCAACTCTGCTGCAGTCGCCGTTCCTGCGCGACTGCGCGCAATGGTCTCGAGATGAGCTTCCTCAAGTCAAGGTTCTGCCTCCTGATGCCGCCTGCTCCCCGCCTCCCTTTGCCTTTGCCCTGGCCGTCTTCCCTTTCTGCGCACACGACATCTATGCTTCATCAATCATTTGACTTTGTGCATGATTGATTGTCCTCAAGTGCTTGCACATGCAACTTTTACCCCTCTACAGCCCGGCCCCATCCCCCGCCATCCCATCGTCCATCCATCACGGCACCGCCTCCCTCATGGTTTTCCTGCCCACCGCTAGTCCATCGTGTCTTGGCCACCACGGCACCCTGCCCGCTTCGACCTTGTTACTAATGCTGCGCCCGTTCATCGTATAGATCACACCAATTGTCCGCCGGCGCGCCTGCCTCGCCATCATCATCTTCTGTCGACGACCCTGCCGAAAACACCGCCGACGAGGAGGATTCTGAGGACTACTGCAAGGGCGGCTACCATCCCGTCCAGGTTGGCGAGAAGTTCAAGGATGGAAAGTATACTGTCGTGCGCAAACTCGGCTGGGGCCATTTCTCAACCGTCTGGCTGTCGCGCGACAACACCAATGGCAAGCATGTCGCCCTAAAGGTTGTCCGCTCCGCCGCCCACTATACCGAAACCGCCATCGATGAGATCAAGCTTCTCAACCGAATCGTCCAAGCCAAGCCCGACCATCCCGGCCGAAAGCACGTCGTCAGTCTGCTCGACTCTTTTGAACACAAGGGCCCTCACGGGACTCATGTTTGTATGGTTTTCGAGGTGCTTGGCGAGAACCTGCTGGGCTTGATCAAGAAGTGGAACCACAGGGGCATCCCCATGCCTCTAGTCAAGCAAATCACCAAGCAGGTCTTGATGGGTCTTGACTACCTTCACCGGGAATGCGGCATTATCCACACGGATCTGAAGCCCGAAAATGTCCTCATTGAAATCGGCGATGTCGAGCAGATTGTCAAAAAGGTGGTCAAGAACGAGCCGGCAGAAAAGGAAAACAACAACCGTAACGGAAGGAGGAGACGTAGGACCCTCATCACAGGCAGCCAGCCGCTGCCGTCACCGTTGAATTCTACCTTTAACCAGTCGAATTTGTTCCCTGGGGGTTCAGCAGCACCGAGCTTTGGTAGCGTTTTGGACCAAGGTAATTTGACATGTCGCGAGGTCGAGGTCAAATGTTGAGCGAGACAATGAGCTGACAAGAACGGGTTGTGTAGCTGCGAACAGGAATAACGAGCCATCGCCCAAGTCAACAGAAGAAACACAAAAACAAAGAGAAAAGACAGCGTACGTTGTTGCATCACGAGCGCCACCCGCCTAGGTATGGCATTGCTGACTTTGCTGCAGAGATATTCTTACCCGAGAGGTGTCCGGAATCTCCCTCGATAAGGCGAGCGGGCCTTCAGCCTCAACGGGTGAGAAGCGCAAGGCCGAGGACGCTCACGCTTTTGATGTCATCAGCGTTAAAATTGCCGATTTGGGCAATGCCTGTTGGGTCAACCACCACTTTACCAACGACATCCAGACCAGACAATATCGATCACCAGAGGTTATCCTTGGCGCGAAATGGGGGGCCAGCACCGACGTTTGGAGCATGGCGGCCATGGTAAGTATTGGCTTTCCAAGGCGTTGGGACTACCTGTTGGTATATTGCTGCAAAGAGGGACGCTAATAAGCCGGTTTCAGGTGTTTGAGCTGATCACAGGCGATTACTTGTTCGACCCACAGTCTGGCACCAAGTACGGCAAGGACGACGACCACATTGCGCAAATCATTGAACTATTGGGACCATTTCCTCGGTCTCTCTGCCTCAGCGGCAAGTGGAGTCAAGAAATCTTCAACCGGAAAGGCGAACTTCGAAATATTCATCGGCTGCGACACTGGGCGTTACCAGACGTGCTGCGGGAGAAGTACCACTTCAAAGAGGAA